TTTACTGTTTTATTTAAAAATTAAAAAAACTTGCATCCTTAAATAAAAAAAATAAAATTCATATCCTTATCTATGTATTTTTTTATTTTATAAGTAAAATTTACTGTTTTATTTAAAAATTAAAAAAACTTGCATCTTTAAATAAAAAAAATAAAATTCATATCCTTATCTATGTATTTTTTTATTTTATAAGTTAAATTTATAATTAAATTTTAAGGTCAATATCAAGGAAGATTATTTTTTCTAAATATATTATATTGATGTGGAAATTTTATCTTTAAAATTATTCAAAAATATATTAATATCAAGATAGGCACAAATTTATTCAACTCAGTCAAGAATGCCGGCCAAGGTCGTCAAAAATTGAAAGAGAAAAGAAGTATTTGGGCATAATCATACATTATTAAAAATGTTAATTTATTATAATTAATAGTTGATATATTTTAGTAACAAATGAACAACAATTTAAAAAGATAATTATGAAATGCTAATAAATTACGATTCATTTTACAAGCATAAAATAGAAACGTACAGTCAGAGTCACCATACCATAAAACAATCTCAAACAAACTTATATTCATAATTTTGTTTTAATATTTAAATGGTAATAAAGAAAAGAAATAAGATTGTGTTAATTCATTCGTGTTTTTTACCTTCTTATTATACTTTTTAATCAACAAATAATTTCATTGATTTGGATCTTTTCTTATTATATTGGTGGCGAATATTTTCTTTGGATGTGATAATGTCAATAATTCTGTTAATTAGATTAGCATCTTTGTATTTTTTCAAAAAAAAAAAAAAAGGAATATGATGATTGGAAAGTTCCAAAGAAAGTATAAAGAAAAAATTTAGAAAATTTTATTAATTTTAGATGGAACACCCTAACACCTGAGCACTGTTTGAAGTACTCTCTAAATTAAGATAGAACAACTTTAGGATCTAGTCAGGTGCAAATAGCATAGCATATTCTTTGTTGTAGCGTATTAATTCCTTGAAAATGATGGGAATACTCATTCTATTGTTGGAGAAAATAACCCTTGACTTAGCGCTTAAGTTTGCTATATTTCCATTGTTATCTATCCACTAAACATGACTAAGGGACATATTAATGTGATTTTATTGGGTTTAGCCCCACCCATGCGCCTAAGAGTAATTTCCCTTCTTTTACACCTATTACAATAGGGGTCAGAAATCAGAATCAAAGTTTCTATGCTAGCTGTTTAGAACTTTCCCTAAGAATTTGGATCCCAAAGAATTGGAATTCTTCTAATATTAATTCATTCCCATTATTTTTTTGATGATATATCAAAGAATTATTAGTTATTTGATATTATAAAAATTTAAATTTTCGGTGTTAATCTTAAATTAAAAATTTTAAATTAATGATATTAATTCAACTAAATTCTTATTACTGATTCCCATAAATCTTAAGGTTGCTGTCTGTTTACGTATGTTTTCTAACAAGTGGAAAACACTTCATCTTCCATGGGAAGCTTGATTCCATTGGCTAGAAGCATATAATGCGAAGCAGTTATGCCAATTGGTTAAATAGTTTGTTCGACTCTATTCCATCTTTAATTTAAGTTCAAAGTAAATGGTTGATTACGGTCTAATCATCAGTTTAATCAAATATCTTAAGTAAATTATTGCTTAATTGAACGCAACGAATTTCTGTTTCTTTGGATATTTTTAACAATTCCATTAGTTACATATTTTTCCTACATATAATGCTCTCTTCACGAAGCATATATAGCTTGCCGACGATAAGCATTTAAGTAGTTTTTTTTTTTTTTTTGTCCTCCCAAATAAGAGCAAAAGACCTTAAATTTAAATTATAAAAATGACAGTATGATAAGTAAAGAGATATAATAGAGTTATATTCTTTTTTATGCAATTTATTTATTTTTTAAGCATAGCTTTTCACCTTTTTTAACTAAAATTTTTGGGAGGGAGGCATTGACATAGCTTCTCACTTTGTGTTAATTTCAAGTTTTTAATTATATACTTACACATACACATAATTAAGGACTTAGGTTAAATTCTTACATTTTTATAAACAAAGAAGAAAATCCTAAATTTTAAAAAATAAAAATGGTTTAATAAAAAAATTCCAAATAACCAGTTATTTTATAATAATTGAAACTACTTTTTTTGAGAAAAGTGAGAAATTACTCGAGTCTCAGAGCATATTTAGGGGTGTTTCAAATGTCACGTAATTATTGTTTATATTATTTATTTAATTTTAGAAATTAGTCTTTGTAAATTGAATCAATATTAAGAGAAAAAATATTTGAAAAATACTTTTATTTCATTAAAGTAAAATAAGAAAAGATTAAAATAAATAAATTTTTAATTTAAAAACAAATTATTTGAAACTTTTTAAAATAACATAACTTTAAAATTTTTTTATTCTAATCTTTTAGAAATCTACCTTACAAACACTTCTTCCTTAATTTTATAACTCTCCATCCATTACGAGGTTAAAACCTATATATAAAACATTTCTAAAAAGTTAGAGTAACATTATTTTACTCAATTAAGATTCCTTCAAGGTAGGAAGAGACTCTGCCAGATGAGATACAATGGAGATGTCCTCAAAGATCTTTTGCTAATTCACTTTAATCATGGAAAATTTGAGACTAGTGGCAACATTCTTTATGAAGTTAGAAAACCAATCAAATAGAGGTCCCACCTGACACTGCTTATAAAAATCCTAAGAAGAGCCTCCCCCGGATAATAAACCTATTTATATTTTCCCTCATGAAAGCGAATTGAATTAACTTTTAAATTACAATCTTTTAAATAGATATATTAAAAATCACCATCTGCACACAGGTACACGCAGGTCCCATTTGGGTGACAAGACAGCGAAGGAGTTAGGGTCTGTTTGGCTGGGTGCAACCCAAACTTTTATTATTATAAAATTATTAATGTAATTCCACCTAAATGATTAAGAATTTTAAATTTTAATTTTAATTTAGGTAGAAAGGCATTTGAAAAAGAAAAAAATATGTTTCATTATATAATTTATCATTTAATATATTTTTACATTTTAATATTACAATAAAAAAATAAAAAATAATATTTTTAACATATATTTTTCTTAACATAATTTTCATCTAATGAATTTCTCCTCATACTTTTTGAAAAAAATCATTTTCTCACAAATTTTTTTATATGAAATTCACTTTGATAACTTTCTTGCCAACTCTTCTAACATAAATTTTTTGTCAAATATAAAAAAAAAAAAAAAACAACTTAAAAATGTTTTAATAAAACTTCATTACTAAATTTATCAACTTTGTGTATAATGCTTTCTTAACCACCTTTCAAGTAAAATCAACATCTAAACAAGCGGCTCCTGAGTGTTTGTTTGTTTGAGTTAAATCTAAATAGTTAATACAAAAAACCTACGCAGGCTGTTTTCGAGGAAGAATTGAATTTAAAATGTAAATTAATGAATAATTTTTTTTTTGAGTTTTATACCTATATTTAATGATTTATTAATATTTTTTGTGCAATAATACTTTGAGTGTTTTTTTTTTCAAATAAGTGTCCATCAACCAAATTTTTTTAAATTTAGGAAAAAATATACTAAAATTATATTGTTTTAATAAAGTACAATGAAAAAAAATTAAAACAATCTTATATTTACTTTTAAAATATGTTATTTTAATTTTTTTCAATAAAAAGTTATTAAAACAACATATTTTTATAGTGTTTTTCTCTTAATTTTTTGTTAATAAAATGAGCAAGCTTATAAAAAAATGTACTTTTGTGATTATTTGCTTAGAATAAGGATAAAATAAAAATAAATACATTAATAACTTACATATTAAATAGAAAAATAGATTATTAATTTTGAATGTCTCAAATTAAGATAATTAAAGTTGAGTAGAGAAAGTAAAAAATTGTGAAGTAACGGTATATATACAATTTGTTTATACAATTTTTATATAAAACTTTTATATGTTATTAAGTGAGTAAAAATATATAATATTATGAATCTTAGTAAAATGAAAAAATTAATCATTAAATGACATGTAAAATTGTATAAAAAAGTTGTATAAAAAATTATCTTTTAATCACTTTCTAATTTTATAAAACTATTTAAGGAAGTTATATCAATCAGCCATAAGATTTGATACAAATAAGCATGAAATTTTTCAAAAATTTTCTAATTAAAACATGACATTTTTTCTTTATTAATCAAACTTATCACTTTTTAAAAATTTTTAATTAAGCATATGATTTTTATGATTTTTATGATTTTAATAATTAAGTCTACCATTTTTCAAAAGTATTAATAACGATTTAACCTTACACATTTATTTAACTATTTTTTAGAGAAATAATAAAGTTCATATTCTTTAATTAAAATTTTTTAAAAAGAAGTAATTTTGATTATTAAAAAAATATTATATCTTTAACTAAAAATTTTTTAAATAAAAAAATTTAAAACTTTATGATAGTTTAAATATCAACTCTTTTATGAAAATTATTTAAATATTATTAATAAATTTTTATGTATTAATTTATTTAAAATATTTTATTTTTTTATAATTATTTTTAACATTTTAATTTTTCTTAGTCCTTTTTTTAAAAGTTTTATACTTATTTGTATAAATTTTAACAAATCACCCACTAACAAGCAATTTTAAGTAAAGCTAAAAATCTGAAGTCTCACCAAACATGGTGCTGGTGGAATTAACAGAGTTGCAATCAAAATCGACTGCTTCCACCCCACACCTTTCTGACTACTGATTACTGAAGTTGGCACTGTCAGACGCAGTTTTTGGCTGCTTATTATCAGGAGAGAGACGTTTCTCCGTTTATACTTACTGCCAAAAATGCCCACCTAAAACATGACAGCCTAAGAAAAGGAGCGGCCTTTCTTCTCTGGCACAGCCATCAGAACCAAAACCAACCTGGGTTTTGATTATCTTCGTCTTCTATTTCATGGGTATGTCATTAAAAGTGAAGAATGAAGAGTTTTATTGCTTCTCTAGGTTTGTTAGGGACCCTGTGGTTGATGTTGAGTTTGACCCCACTTGGGTAGTCTTTAGCTGCCGATTAAAGTAAAAATCTTTGTCGGTTTTTCCGGTCAATTAGCTATTCTTCTGTAGAGCTGCTGAAAGTTTGCTCAGAGCTGGTCAATCCTGAATCGTGTTGACTCATCTTTGGGATATATATCACCGTGTTAGGATCTTGTTTACTAGTATTTTGAGTTCATTCTCAGCTTGTTCTTGGTGGGTTTACTTCAAATTTTTGTGACACGGTTTAAAGGTGTTAGATTTGGTTCCTTTTCAACCCTTTTCCTGGGGGTGTCAATTCCACGCTGAAAAATTTTGAAGTAATTACTAAAATCTAGGAAGTGTGCTTTTCGTCTCTTTTTGTTTATGAAAGATTAAAAGGTTCTAGTTTTCTTTTATTTTCAGAATTTTATTGGTGGGTCTCACCGTTTTGCTGGACTGGACATGGAATTCAAGTGAAGTTAGATTTGAGAAATTGGATCTAAATCACTTCGTTTAGCATCAAATTGGTGTGCTCGTAGAGTTTTGAAGCTTGGTTTAGTTTGGATTTTGTGGATGCTTTTCTGGGTGCAAATCTAGAGTGCTGAGAAAGTTGAAATTGGTTTTTGGCTATAGCTTGGGAATCATATTGAATTGAACATGGAAATGACTTCAGGGGTTGAGATTGATGATGACAGTGACACCACCAACAGAGGTAGCATGTGGGTTTTGGATCAGAAGCTTGATCAGTCCATGGATGAGGAAGCTGGAAGACTTAAAAACATGTACAGAGAGAAGGTAATGTTTAATTTTATCCTGCTCTTGAGTTCATCTCTGTTTGCAGCTTTTCCAAATTGATTGATTTAATTGAACTTCACTACATTAGATTTTCCTCCATGTTAATCAGTAACTAGAAATTTGCTTATTAGGATGTTTGGATTTAAAGGCCTTTTCTTGAACCCAACTGAAGTTGCGTGGAATTAGGTTGTTATGCATTTTGTCCTGTAGGGAATAGGATTAGTCTACAATGGTACCTTGAAAAGCAGTCCTTTTTTTTAGACCAAACAGGCAGTATTTTCTTGAAGTTGTGGATTTTGTTTTGGTGACATTTTAGATGTACTGATAATTCAGATTTATTATCATTTCTGACACAATTTCAATTTCTGTAGAAATTCTCTGCGATATTGCTTCTTCGGCTTGCATTCCAGAGTCTTGGGGTGGTTTATGGTGACTTGGGCACTTCTCCCTTGTATGTTTTCTACAATACTTTTCCTCGTGGAATAAAAGATCCAGAGGATGTTGTAGGAGCTCTTTCCTTGATTATATACTCCATTACACTTGTTCCACTCCTGAAGTATGTTTTTATAGTGTGTAAAGCCAATGATAATGGTCAAGGTAAGCTGAAATCCGTTGGTGGAAATGCTTCATGTAATAACTCGTATTTTCTGTGATTCTTAGAAAAGAAATGATGATATTTTAGGCAATCATAAAATTCAAAATAGAATGCTGGAAAAATTACTTTCTTGTTTCATAAATGTTTGATCGTAATGATGGTATTAGCAGTTATGCTGAGCATGTTCTTGCTTTTCTTTGGATGCTGATAAGGCGGCATTAGAGCCAAACTCATCCTCTTTATCACACAGGTGGAACATTTGCTCTATATTCGTTGCTTTGTCGACATGCAAAAATAAAAACTATTCCTAATCAACACCGGACTGATGAGGATCTAACAACTTACAGCCGTTCTACTTTTCATGAGAAATCCTTTGCCGCAAAGACCAAGAGATGGTTGGAGAGACATGCATCTAGAAAAAATGCACTTCTTATTATCGTACTTATTGGCACGTGCATGATGATAGGAGATGGGATTCTCACTCCAGCAATATCAGGTACCCTATTTACTGCTTCCCTAAAATGCTAGCTCTCTTTGGACAATCAGTATCTCTTTAGTTCACCAAAAATGACAACTTGTTTGAATTCCACCTTAATTGGTGCCTAACAATCTGTAACTCTCTTCTGCAGTTCTTTCAGCTGCTGGAGGCATCAAAGTAAACAACCCCCATATGAATAATGGTATCACCATATGCTGCAGTTGTAACTTTTTCTACAGTGCTAGGCCTCAATTTTTCATGAGTTTATGTTTTAGCTCTTTAATTGATACTCCCCACTCAATTTTACAGGTGTAGTTGTGGTGGTTGCTGTTTTAATATTAGTGGGTTTGTTTAGTTTGCAACACTATGGTACAGATAAAGTTGGCTGGCTCTTTGCCCCGATTGTACTCCTTTGGTTTCTCTTAATTGGAGGCATCGGCATATTCAATGTTTGGAAATATGATATACGTGTCTTGAAAGCCTTTTCACCACTATATATATATCGCTATTTGAGTAGGGGAGGGAAAGATAACTGGACCTCCCTTGGAGGCATTATGCTTAGCATAACAGGTAAACTTATTATCCATTTTTCATAATCCAGTATATAGTGCACACTCTTAACTATCAGAAGAGGATTTCTTGACCAGTGATAGTTGGTTTCAGGGACTGAGGCTCTTTTTGCCGATCTAGCCCATTTTCCTGTTTCAGCTATACAGATTGCTTTTACTTTGGTGGTATTTCCTTGTCTTCTTGCAGCATATTGTGGACAAGCTGCATACCTCATAAATCACAGGGATCATGTGTCTGATGCATTTTATCGTTCTATTCCGGGTTTGTTCTCATCTCTATCCTGTTGTGGCTGCTTATAATCTATTCAAATTTCAATACATAATGCCAACATCACAGCCTTGCTCTTCTACAAGAATAGACCATTTTCCCTTTAAATGGTTGGGATGCCCACTCCAAAGCTGGTGTCGTCATCAGTTTGTCTTATTTTGCAGAAAGCATATATTGGCCAGTTTTTATTGTTGCAACTGCAGCTGCTACGGTTGCAAGTCAGGCTACAATATCTGCAACTTTTTCGATAATCAAGCAAGCACTTGCACTTGGTTGTTTTCCTAGAGTGAAGGTTGTACATACATCAAAGAAGTTCCTTGGCCAGATATATGTTCCTGATATTAATTGGATCCTTATGATTCTTTGCATTGCTGTGACTGCTGGATTCGAGAATAAAAGACAAATTGGAAATGCTTATGGTAAGTTTATACCCTGCCAAATTTTGCGTTAGACTACAAAATTTATTATTTCTCTATATGACTGCTTTCTATAACATATTATTCTATTTCAATATGTGTACTCAAAATCATAGTTGCACTGAATTTCATTGTAATTTATGTTACCACAGGCACAGCAGTGGTTCTAGTAATGCTGGTAACCACTTTGCTTATGGTCCTAATTATGATTTTGGTCTGGCGCTGCCACTGGATTCTTGTCCTGCTCTTCACTGGTTTGTCCCTGGTGGTAGAGTGTGCCTACCTTTTTGCTGTGCTTTTCAAGGTTAATCAAGGTGGGTGGGTACCCCTTGTGATTGCGGGAGCCTTTCTTATCATCATGTACATTTGGCATTATGGTACAGTTAAACGGTATGAGTTTGAGATGCATAGTAAGGTATCAATGGCATGGATTCTAGGGCTTGGCCCCAGCCTAGGGCTTGTCCGTGTTCCTGGAATAGGACTGGTGTACACTGAGCTAGCTAGTGGTGTTCCCCACATCTTTTCCCACTTTATCACCAATCTGCCTGCAATCCATTCCGTCGTTGTTTTTGTCTGTGTGAAATATCTTCCAGTGTACACAGTACCAGAAGAAGAGAGGTTCCTTGTAAAGCGGATTGGACCCAAGAATTTCCACATATTTCGGTGTGTAGCTAGGTATGGCTACAAAGACCTCCATAAGAAAGATGATGATTTTGAGAAAAAGCTCTTTGACAACCTCTTCTTGTTTGTCCGGCTCGAGGCAATGATGGAAGGGTGTTCAGATTCAGATGAATATAGTATATATGGCCAGCAAACCCAGCAGTCCAGAGAGGCTCTACTGGATAACAATGGGAACACAACTTACTCCAACATGGACCTTACCATTACATCTGTGGATTCAATAGTGCCCGTGAAATCTCCTATTCACGTAAATAATACCGTCCGATCATCTGGTCAGGTGAGCAGCCAGACTGAGTCGGCTGAGCTAGAATTTTTGAATAGTTGTAGAGATGCTGGGGTGGTGCACATTATGGGGAATACAGTAGTGATGGCAAGGAGGGGTTCAAGGTTCTACAAGAGGATAGCCATTGATTATGTATATGCATTTCTTAGGAAGATATGTAGGGAGAATAGTGTGATTTTCAATGTTCCTCATGAGAGTCTATTGAATGTTGGACAGGTATTTTTTGTGTAACCTGTTTTTACCCTTCCTAGCATTACTAAAACTGTCTCCTTTATCCATTTTTATTTTCCCTTTATTTGTGAAATAGAAATTTCTGAGTTCTCACTCCATCCATATCATTGGTTTCCCGTACATTCTTCTCCATGATTGCTCCCAGGAGTCGTTTTTTAGAAAAAAAAAAATTTTGGATGTGAGAGGCCAACTTATTGAAACTATAGAGGAATATGGGAAGAGAGGAGAAATAGGGTTTCGAACCATGGCTGTACAGGTGAGAAAGCATTTTTCTGCCAATAATTTGCTCAATTACTCTATATCTTTCTACAGATTTCCTGGATCACGAAAGCTCTTATATCTGTGTCCTGAGCATTCAGAGTCATTGCAAGCCCCAAAACAGAGTATATACACTATTGGCCCAAATACTAGCTTTATACAAAAACCAATTTCTTCAGTTTTATGAAACACAGTCATATCTCAGCCTTCAAATGTGATCTCCTCTCTACTCCGTGTAATACACATTACCTTTACGGAGTACTAAGTAAGAATAGACAACCATCCTTGTATTTGAGGAGAAGGGCACCAAGATAAGGGGAAAAAGTGGAGTGCCATCACTTAGGAACTTGGTGCTGCGGCTGATGCCCATGTGATTTTGTTTGGGATGCAGCAGACATCACACGTAAGCGCCTGGTAATCTCAGTGAATGATGGACGAGCAACAGGATCAGGGGCCCAACACTGCTCCATCAGCAATCTCCACTCAGGATCACAGAAACTTGGTACAGGTGGCCTCAATGTGTTATGGACTATGCCTCCTGCATGTAACAGAGATCTTAGAACATAATGTAAACCAGGCATCAACATAGCTAATTGATATTTAACTGATATGGTAAGCACTTTAATTTAATTAAACAATATTTTTTCTTCTTTTTAGTCTGAAAAATACATGCAGATTGTTGTGGTGATTATGAACATATGGAAGAGGACGTAGGGGAGAAGGCAAGTGGGGGAAGAGTGAGAGAGATATTATCCTCACCTATTATTGCGCCATAATGCATGTTGGCATAAGGCTCCTCACCAGTGAGAATCTCCCATAAAACAATACCAAAAGAAAACACATCCACCTGCCAAGTGTCAATGAATCAAGTTAACAATATTTTCAGAAATAAACTTGCAGTGATTGACTGAAATAAAGTATGGTAGAAACCAAAAGATGCAAGCTATAGGTCTCATTTAATTAGGAAGGCCATGAAGACCAGATAGCGTGATTAAAACCAGTTTATATAGCAGAATCGTCAGGCTTTAGTAAGAAGAAAGAAGCAGCATTGTCTTGACCTTCATTGCTTAAGCCTAGGCCTGCCTATTAACCATAGACCTACAGGCTCTATAGCCTGTAGGTAATTGATTTTCCTAACATACCTTCTCAGAAACCTTACTGCTGCTACCATTCAACAGTTCTGGAGCCATCCATGGAAGAGTTCCCCTCACGCCACCAGTAACCAAGGTATTTCTTTTTATCTTTGACAATCCAAAGTCACCAACCTGCTTGTACAGTATCATTGGTTTGATATTTGGAATAGAAAAATAACTGGAAGATCCAGCAGTCAATACACCACAAACTTAAGGACTTAAGTTACCTTGCAAATGGGCCGCACAGGGTCCTTCAAGTTGACAAGCAAGTTGTCACATTTCAAATCAAAGTGCACAATATTCTTTGAATGCAAATATTCCATTCCAAATGCTGCATCCATAGCAATAATGAGTCGCTTACGACGATCAAGGTGCCTGAACAAAAGACATACATGAGAAGGGAATTCTCCAAGATGACGAAAGTGGAACAAGCCAGGATGATTAAGTTTATAAAGATAATATTACCTGTCCTTGCTAAGCAAAACACTTCTAAGAGAGCCATTCACCATGAACTCTGTGACAGTGGCAAGTGTTCCTCCAGGTCCATCCTGCACCACACCATAAAATGCCACCACATTGGGATGATGAAGCTTTGAAAGAATTTCAGCTTCACGCCAGAACTCCAAGGTCTGAACAAGATGAATTTTCAATTAATAATGAAATTAGGGGAAACTAAAAGAAAAGTTTGGCTAAGGACTGCATAAAACTCCAAAGCACTACACAGAGATGATAAAACCAATGGGTTAACCATTGCAATGGCAAAAGAAATCATCCAGGGTAACAGAATAGGCAACAGAAAAAGCATTTCCACTACCGGGATCCAGGAATTAGAATAATCAAGCCCAGTTAGTCTACAAGTTCAAATCATGTATGAAAATGGCATGCCACTTGCAAAAGCAATTGATCAATGTAAAAGAAAAAAGATAAAACGTTTGCACGAAAGAGAACTCACCAATCTTTCTTGCTCTGATGAACGACCAGTGAAACAGCTCTTCTTTATTCTTTTAATGGCAACATCAGTCCCTCTCCATTTTCCATGGTAGACAGTCCCAAATGTACCAGAACCTAATTCTCTCAGTTCTTCTAGATCTTCATTCATTATTATCTACAATGCACTCGACAAAATAAGCAAGGAGTCAAAGATGAACTCCAAAATCTAAAATGCACCAATTCAACCATCTTTGGGCAATAATCAGAAAAGGGGAGAAAAAAGGTCCAATTTAACAGCACAGTAGATGGCATGCATTTCCTCTATCATAAACTTTATCAAAGATCAGCATGCATAAGTTGAAAGAAGGGGTCACAAGAGTAGCAAGTGCAGTAGAAGCTACCATTTGAGAGGAGGTTCAAATGGCTCTTTAGAAGCTAAGGTTGATGAAAGGAAGAAGTTTGGTACACCTACAACTGATTTTATCATCTAATCTACCAGATGCTACAGTAACAGTGGCTAAATTAAATGTTGATAGAGATTATTATGCAATTTGTGGGGTTGGTCACATTATCACCACTGGTCACCACTGGTCACCACTGGCAAGAGCAAACCAAGATGAGGCATCATTGACATCTAATATCTATGGTGGCAAGGGTGGGAAGGCAGGCAGCGGTATAATACCTCTGTGAGCTAGTACAACTGCTAACTTAACAACATTAATTCAAGTATAAACATCTCTTAATAGCATCTTTGTAAAGCTTCAAGACAAGTTATTAAAACAAAAGGAAAAAAGTAAAAGCAGTAAGGTTCTTCCTTAGCTTTTGCCTCTATGCAATAAAAGTAAAACTGCAGAAAAAATATATATATATATATATATATATATACCTGCAAAGTACTGATATCAAAATCTGCCAATGAAAGATCCAGAAGAGGTGAACCAGTATTCTGAATATCCAGCTTCCCATCCTAAATAATACCACTAAACAATTAGAAGCAAGAAAAAAAGCAAGCCAATATGTTGTCCAAAGCAGGAGTCTTTTTCTTAAAAAAAAAAAAAAATGATATAACTTACCCCATAATCTGATTCCAGTACTTTAGAGGTCACCCTATCTAACTGTGCATTTTCATCACCCTTGAGCTGGGACTGACTATAATCTGGACTTAAATCCATGGTGTTGGCTACAGTGACACCAGTAGATTCCTGCCTAATGTCCTCATCAAAATTTATGTGTGAATTACCATGAACAAAGGCAACTCCACCAGTGTTCAATGGTGGATAGCTATAATCAAGAGGAGCCCCATCTTTAATATTTGTAAGTGGGGATGAGAAACCCAAATGGTCCTGATCCATAAGGGAAACATCCTTTCTTGCAAACTCATCTTGATCCAAATTACGGAAGTATGACCAACGCTTAGGTTCATGATTCTCCATATTTACACTCAATCCAGCTCCATCACAGATTTGAACTTGTAGATTGATACTAGAGATGTTCTGCGACATTCTTGCTTGTAAGGATATCTCAGACAAAATATCAGGAGGGAATCGGTCATTGATGTCAATAATAATGTCTCCCTGCTCTGGGGTACGAACAGCAACAGCAGCCTCTTCCTTGGAAACAGCTCTAACGGGGTTCTCACTCCATGGCAAAGGCTGTTCATTTCCTTGGTTCTTGATTGAAGCCCCCTCATTTGCTGTTGGTGGAGTCAACCCAGCTGCTTCTTTATCAGCAGAATCAGTATGGTTCTCTTTGACCCTTCCCTTTTCATGGCTGCTCATGGAATTAACTGGTACCTGATTTAGTTCAGATTTCAACTTTGACTCAAGCCCTTCCTCAAGAACTGTATTCACTTTATTGGTTTTTTCAGCAAAGTCATTGCACTTTTCAAATTGCAGAAGTCCATCTGTAACAGTCTGAGAATTGGTGGCAATTGGTTTGGCAGGTGCAATGGATTGTTCAACTTGAGAAGCAACATTACTCTCATGGACTTTGTCAACTGATTCTGTGATTGATTGAGAACCATCAGAACGTCCTTGAGTCATTAGAAACTGAGAACCAAAGGAATCATCCGACTTCGACAAGCGATTCATCTCAGCCTGTTCCCTGGGGATTCTCTCGGAATGGAAAACTGGTTGAGGAACCATAGATGGCTCAAGGTAGCTGGAACCAGTGGGGTCAGCCTGAGAACCACTTCCTCCAGATATAAAAGCTCTGTTAGCTGTGTAAAACTGACCATCTTCATTGTTCTTCCTCCCTTCATTTTTTACTTCTGAAATTGCTGAATTCTGTAAAGGTTCCTGGGGTTTCTTGAAGCTTTTTCCAGACAAGGTAGAGTTAATATCAGGCACTGAATTGGAAACTAATGCTTCTTCCCTAGAAACAACATACTCATTTTCTGGCATACGAATTTTATCAGTTTCATTAATCTTTGGCATCGAGATATCTCTTTTCATTTTTGGCTCCTTCGCTGGGGAAGGCTTGTCCACGCATCGAACTTTTTCAGGTTCATTTATTTTGGGGGCTGAGCTATCTCTTTTCAGTTTCACCTCCTTTACAGTCACTTCAGGATCTTGCACTTGAAATCCGCCATACACCTTCTCATCCACCAAACCTGCCTGGGGAGTGAAATGCCCATGGAGAGGCATGGAGACTAGAGTTTCTCCAGGTGTCATGTAGTTAGAAGGGTGAGAACCATAACCATATTGCAATGGAGCAGATACTGGAGTGCTGCTCTTCCCATCTACCTGGGGAGTAGAAGACAGTTGCTGGCCAGCTTCTCCGTACTGCACCCTTGGTTCAATGTGAGGCTGCAAACTAGATTCATAAGCATTGGATGAATTTGGCAATAATGGTTGAGTAGATTGGATAGTTGGTGGAGGCCTGTTAACTGACATAGCCACAGAAATAGCATCAGCTGGTTCAGCAGCAGCTCGATCAGCCTCCCTTTCAACATTTAAACTGAATAAGTCATCCAAATTTTTCTCTGAAGAACTTGCCAGATTGACTGAGTTTCTTTGAGAGCCTAGGTCCATACCATTCACAGCAACTACATACTGGAACTCAGAATCACCCTCCACATTTGATAAACTGTACTGAGCATCCTCTAAATCACTACTAGAAAACAGGAACATTCTGGGTTTTTGAGATCCTCCATTATCTGGTACACTGCATTCCTCCATCATGTTTTGCAGATCCTCATCAGAAGATACAGAAACCAAAGCATCAAGATCTTCACCAGGAAGCTGATACTTTATTGCATGAGCTTGGCTGTAAATTTCTAATGTTTTATGAACAAGCTCTTGCAAAGAAATATCCCTGCTTAACCGGATTATACGTGTTTCACCTCCAACATATCTAAGTTTCCCATCCCCAGGTCGAGGCAAAATTTTACCCCCAAAGCTGCAGAGAAATTTCACTGTGCTGGATGAGCTAAAAGCAGTCCCAGAAGAGGCATGACCTTGATGTCCCTGACTAATGTCATTTCTTGAAGAGCTTCGAGGTACTGATCGCATGGATTCATGAGCAGGAGCTTTCCGCTCAAACTCCTGGGCACGACCTCTTTCAGCAGCATTAACCATTGAGATATCAGATCCACTCTCGGAACCTGTATGAGAAACTCCCAACATGCCTTTTAGATCCATATAAGCAGGTCCAGTGTTAGGATCAACATAAGCACTCAGAATGAAATGTTGCCTGGGATTTACCCTTTCCCGCATAAATTCTAAAGCAAACTCCTCACCAGTCTGAATGGAGTAATTTAGCACAGGCCTAGCTCCTATTGACATGTTGTAATCTGGAGGTCGGATATTGGTATTAATATTACTCGAGGGATCATAGAAAAATCTTTGATTTGAAGACCCAACAGCCTCGTTTCTGGTTTCCACGTTGCTGTATCGAACTTGGTCATGGTTCTTCTGTGGATCCATAGCACCTTTTCCTTGGTTGCTCTCCATTTACTTCAGATACCATGGAAGAACACTCCACTGCAAGATGCGATGAATATCATACCAGTGCAATATCAGCATATTCATTCTTCCATAACCAACAGCAAAGTGTTTCTTCTTCAATAAGTTTCAGTTCCCCCCTTTAACCCTGAAAGAGCACATGAAAAGAGCAGAATTCAATCACAAACATGAACCCTGACCACTGCAAACGACTTAATTACATGATAAACAGACAGAGTGCAGAATCCAATCTCAAAAGCATCATCCTGAACTTAATCAAGCATTATCCAATATCCAGTATGAACATCAATCGACTCGACACCCACTGGGATATAAATCGATTAAAAAAAAATTCACAGATCAAAGAACACTAAAAATTCGACCTTGAAAATTACCCAGAAATCAATAACACCCTCCCAGATGAAACCCACAAAGAACGACCCCAAACACCCCAGAAACACTAATCAACAGCCCCAAACAAGGCTTATAGTTCAAATAAAAGCCAAAATTACCAGAATCCATCGAAATCGAGCTCGAAATCAAAATCAGAACGAAACCCATATACAGATAATTGATTAAGATCACTACTTAAACAAACAGAAAATTAACAAAAAGAAAAACATGTTACCTGAAAAGGCACCTAACCAGACTGAGGGCTTTTAGCAGAAGCAAAGAGGAAGAGTATAGACTTTCTTTTCTTAATAATTTAATTATTTCATAAAATAGAGAGAACTCTCCGTCTCTCTCCGTCTCTCCGTCTCTCCGTCTCTCTCTCTCTCTCTCTCTCTCTCTCTCTCTCTCTCTCTCTCTTTTTTGAATTTCTTTCTTTTACTTCTCTCCTAGATCGATCCAAACTATTTTTTTTTCCATTTTTTGTTATTCCTATTTGAGTAAATATACCATCACGCTCCCGTTCTTTTCCAAAACTGGTGATTTTGCCCAAAACTTCATTGTTTATCAATTGAATCTCAAAGGTTAAAAACCCCATTTTTGGGTTCCTCAACTTTTGTATGGAGCCTCTAATCCACGTTTACCACACTGCCACACACACAGCAATGGTTTCCCACTCAGGTTAAGTGGGACAACTCCAGCCTCCGGTCATCGATTCGAACAATGATTACCCCCATCCTTTCCCCTTCCCTTTCATACTTTATGGTCCATTCCTTTTCTCATTCTCGGTCTCAATCCATCTGAGATCTTATTTTAATGTGGTTAGTCTGACCAAGAATCTCAGATCTGGTTCTCTATTTTAAAGCTTTAGATTTTTACCTCCCTACTTATATTTATCAATCACTACTTGAATTGACTAGCTGTCTAAGGTTCTCAATACCATTTTATATTAGTCAATATGAACCATACATGCCAATTTTAGGTTTAATCCAAAACAATAAAAAAGTTAAATTTTATTTTGATCAAATATTAGTTATTTCAATGTACCGATCAATATTTTAATATATTGGTTGGTACACTAACATCATATTGGTATGATTTTTTTTTTCTATCTAATTTTAAAAAAAAATTACCACCACCAACTTCTTTGCCCACTGACTTTCTTAAAACCAATTTTTTTTTTTAAAAAAATACAATTATCAATATACTTATCTTTTTATTAACAAAATATCTTTGTTTTCCCAATATACATACAAAAATCATGACTCAAATATCAAATTATTATTAATTTTAACTAGATAGGTTAGATGATTATTTAGTTAGATTTAAACTTGAAAAAATACATTATAAATCTAAATAAATGTTTAATTTTTTAGTTGTGTTGGGTTTAAATTAAAATAAATATATGAAGGAAAAAATGAAAATTATGACATCTTGATGTCAGTACGTTCATCACAATTATCAAATGAGTGGATACCTCAGGAACTCACGAAACCAACAGATGTAATAGACATTTTGAGCATTAAGACGTTTTGATTTTTTATAGCCCTATATGTGAATCTTTATAAATAAATGTAGAATATATTGATATCTTGTTTTTCTTTAATATTATAATATTAACATTTCATGAATTTTTTTGTTTTGAGTATGTTTTTAATTTCTAAGAAAGTAGTTTTTTTAAGTATTAAATTTTCTTATACTTATTAAATATCATTTCATAATTATATATTTAATTTATATAAAAATATATATTTATAACGATAAATTTGAAATGATACACAAAAAATTTTGATATACAGTAAATACTATTTTAGTAACAATTTTGCAATTGTCTCACAAATTGGCCACATCATTTTCTTTTTTTGTTGATAACGTGGATTTTTCACATCCTTTATACAAAGGAAAATTTTGGTAGTTCTATTAATTAGTGTTCCTAGTAAGCAAAAACTTAACAAAAAGACTCAAAAAATGTTGAAAAATTAAATTTAAAGGACTAAGAAAAACGATTTTTTTCAGTTGAGCAGTCAAAAAAGAGTTTTGAACAAAAATTGAGGGACCCAAAATGGAGTTTTAACTAATGTCAAATGTGTTGGTCTTTTGGAGATGGCTCTACCAATCCCATTTTTAATCCATTTAATACTTTAATTCGTTAAAAGGCCAAGGAAAATATGGTAAATGTATATGAAATTATTTATATATGATAATAATGTATATCAATCCTAACATGATTTTACTCAAGAAAATTTTGGTAAAACTTGGCCAAATCTGGTAAACTTGGTCAATTCGGTCACTTGGTATACTTGTTGATCAGGTTCAATAGTTTTATTTTTTAAAATTTTTTTACTTTTTAACACATTTTTATCTTTTTCAATTGTGAATTTAAATTAAATTCAACTTTTTAAGTTGTTCCTAAAGTGATTTACCAGTTTTTTTCTTTTTTATAAGGTGATCATGTTTTGAAAATGTGGCAATATGAGTACATAGCAATAAAATACACAAAACATCAAAAAAGTTAATTTTTTTGTTGACCAGTGGAATTGAGCAATTGAATTGACTGAACCAAACCTGATATGAAAATGGGTTGATCATCTGGTTGGGTTTTAAAATATTGGTTTCGACTCTGGGGTCCTATTTCAAATACACTATCCTTTAATTAATATTTTGAAAAGTCAATTGATGGATCAAATTTTTTATTTATATAAATTATTTATAAAAAAATAATTAATATATCTTTTAATTCAATACATTTTTTACATTTGCTTGATTTAGCCCCTAAAATATAATATAAATATAGTTGATTAAGTTGGTTCTTGTATATTATATGTATGATTGTATTATTAAATTTGTTTACATTTATTTCAAGTCAAAAAATAATAATTTTTAATAAGTATATTATACAATGTATTAAATTAAAAAATGTACTAATCAATATCTTTATGCATGCCAATTTTCAAGACAATCTAATATTTATAATCATTTCATTAAAAAACTATAATTTCTAATATATATTTATCAATATTAAATTTTTGTATGATTAATGAAATAGTTAAACATATTTAATCAATTTAAAAATTAAAATGCATCATTTATATAAATAAAACATTAAAATAATTAATGTTCAAAATATTCATTAAAAGATAATATTTTTAAATAAGACTTTATAAATTTTTTTTTTATCTTGGTTGCATAATAAAAAATAATTATCTCATGTTTTTTATTTCACTTTACTCATATGTCATGTAACTCAAATTTAAAATTTTTTACTTTCAGATAAAAAAATAATTATTTCACATCCCTTATCTTACCACACTTATATGTCATATAATTCAAATTTAAAATTTTTTACTTTCAAATAAAAAAAATAACCACAAAAGATTTAGGTAGTTAGCAACTCTATAGAATTCAAAACTAACATATAATATTCTTTTTATATATTAACTAAAATTACATAAATAATAAATGGCCAAAAAAAACCTAAAACAAAGGAAAACGTTTTGCATCCTGAGAAACACCCATCAATGCGCTCATTGAATAAGGGAGAAGTTAGGATTGTCTTTCCTACTTTCCTTGGATCTAGTCTTTGAATGATTGGAGTTCTAATTGAATTATTCAAACAAGTTAAAGCATAGTTTAATGATTTGATTTACTACTAATTAAATTGCATCGAATTTATGTAAAAAAAAAAATTGAATCGAATTTAAGTTCGTGCTCTATATAGTGTATTAATTATTTACTATTTCTATCTCAAAATAATTATAATTTTTTAATTTTAAATTTATCTCAAATTAATTAATTTTTTTATTTTTAAAAATAGATAGATTTTTTTTCATATTCTAACCCTATTATTAACTATTTACTTTAATCAATCATCCAATCATAAAAAGTCTTTCTTTATCTTTTATTTCTTTTTAAAAAATATCATACATAAATACAAATATTATCTATAAATCCTTAAATTAAAAAAAATAACAATTATTTTAAGACAAAAGAAATAGTAACTTGATCAAATTTAATATTGTATTTTAAAAATATTTTAATACAAACTATATAATTTAAATATTTTTATTCTAATAATCATAAAAGAGACAAATTTGATAGGATCAAAATTTGTAACTAATCCACATTATTTAAAATATCAAGAAGTGAATTTTATATTGTGTTTAATAATTAGTTTTTTTCACTTTATTTATAATATTGTATGCATTAGTTTATATAATAACTTAATTTATGCCACATCGTTAGTCTCAAATTTTAATTTTCTATTCACTACTCATTTTACTCTTTTTATTCAAGAATAATAATAGATATATATTTTTTAGGGAGATAAATATTTTTTTCTACTTTAACTTTATCATTATTCCTTAATTTTAATTATTCATCTTATCATAAAAAAATATCTCTTATTTTTGTCTTTTTTAAGAGTAATATAAATAAACATATAAATTATTATTAAATTCTTAATGTGAAAATAAAATTATAAAATGTCAATCATTTTATAACATATAATAAAATTTTTGAGCTTGTTTGAATCTAATTGAATTTATTTCGAGTTCAATCAAACTTAGACGTATTTAAAATTAATCTTACATTTATTTTTTATTTTTTAAGAAATTGAGCAATGCTTTTGGGTATTTTAATGTATAAAAAAATTATTTCTTTTTTTAAAAAGAAACAATGAAGTTACAATAACTTTTAAAATTTTTACCTTTTAACTATTCAAGTTATATCAAATTACATAAATTAGAACCATCAAATGAGGTAGGAAGCGTCCCATCTGATAGATGTTCTTAAGCAGTATGGTTTGGATTGCACAAAATATTATTATAAATTTTAAAGTCGTTGATGAGTATTTATTTACCCTTGGTAGGAAGAAATTGTTAGGGGCAAAACCGATAGACGCTCTTAAGGTGAGGGGCATAAAACATATATATATACACTTCGTGGGCTTTGGGACTTTTTGGACACAATAATCATGACTTTTTGGGGCTTTTTTCTCGAAAGGTCGGTATTTTGTTTTCGGGAATTTTCAGGAGGCAATAAGAGCGCACCACCACGCTTTTGTAATGCGAATTAAACTGTAATAATTTACAAACACACACACAAAACCATAATAATGTGTTGATGCTCCTTTTAGGTTTTTTTTTTT